TTAATAGATTCAATGAATCATTAATGAATTATGGCCTTTGTTTGGAAATAAGGATTTTTAGGCCAAGTTTGGCAAGTCAAATATAATTCAAAAAGTCAAAAAATTATACAAAAAGTAAAAAATGTATTACTATTCACAAATAAAAAATATTAAAAAAATAGTTTATACATTTTGATAATATAAATCCACTAACAACGTCACAGCCATTAAGGAGGCCATCATACACTTCTCTTGGGGCAAAAAAAAATTTGCCTCCTTCAAGGCAAATAACTTTTTGATAGTGATGGTCGGTCTGTAGGGGCCACCATAGGTCCAATTTTAATAATCTGAATCGTTGAATATGTTGAACTCGTCGAGTAATATACGCTCGTAAAAAATCACGTTGATCGAATATCGTTAACTATATGATCAAATCAATTTTGTATAAACAAAACGAATGGTGTGATAGTTAACTCTTGAACAAAATTAATTCAATCATATAGTTATTGATATCCGATCAATGTGATTTTTTATAGTCATATAATACTCGACGAGTTGTACATATTGAACAGTTCAGATTGTTAAAATGAGACCCATGATGGCCCCCATGGACCGACCATCACTGTCCAAAAGTCATTTGCCCTGAAGGAGGCAATTATTTCTATGAAGACATGCTGCGCAGCCGGAGGAGAGCCGGACAATCAATTAATTTTCTTCTGCTATATGCTTTATTTATACAATTTTTTATTACACATTTTTTCGTAAAAAAATAAAAAGTTAACCCAAACATTCATCTTTTTTTCTTCAACTTTTTAGTCCAAAAAGATAAAAAGTATATTTATTTAGGATACCCCCAAAACAACCCCTTGCATTTGACAAATTTTCACTTGTACAACCAAACATATTTATTTGCAACCCCTCATATTTATAAATTTTTTTTTATGCTCCACTGTCAAGTAATTTCTCCTTTTATTTTTAATTTTTGGCACATGGTTTTGTCTTTTTAATTTTTTTCTAATTTTATAAAGATTTGATAAAAGCTAAATGGGGAATCAATTTTTTTTAATAAAAAAAATTGGATCAAGAAATTATGAGAATCGGCGATGCAATAAGTGAAGGAAGAATGTTAGGTAAATTGAAAATATAAATAATTGAAAATTAATTGAATGTAAGTAAGACATACATCCATAAAAATTGTGCAAAATAGCACAATTCTCATTTTGTAGTTGCTTGCATTTCATTCATTTGAAATTATGTTTTAAATTTTTTATTTTTAGTCATTTTTTTTATTATTGTTAAAAAATTGATGTGTGAAGTAAATATTAAAAAAGTTATTTTTTGTTATTAAAAAAGTTCAGGTAAGGTTTGGAATATTTTTATCTTTATTAAATTTTTTTATTTAATAAATTTTTACTATTTTTAGTTTTTGAAATTTTAAATTTCTAGATTTTTCTAGACTATCAAATTTGAAAAATTAAAAAAATACTAAAAACAAATAAGTTCAGGAAAATATATATATATATATATAAAAATAAAAAAATTACTTTTTAGCACTTGCTATGGTGGATTTTGTTAAAAAATAAAAAATCTTCACCTAAATCCCTTTTTTTTATTTTTTATTGCGGTTTATAAAATAAAAATAAAAATTTCTTCAACCCTTTTTTTTTTTTTTATTGTTTAACTAAAATGTGAAATTTCTAGTAAAAATCAAACAAAAATATAGAGTACATAAAAAATAAAATAATTTTAATGTTAATTAGTACACTGACAAATTGAATCAGGACTAAAATAGTTAATAAATCAAAACACCTAATCACATCACTATTTTTATTTTTTTTTACATCTTTTTGTAAACAACTTGTTAATTTTTAAATATAAGTTTCATATTTCATTCATTTATAAATTTGTATGATTACTTTGTCTCTCCCTCATGCTCCACATTATATTCTTTATTTTTGTTTGTTCTCGTTCATCTTCTCAACTATAAATCCTATTTTTGCTCCGGTGTAGAGTACTATCACCACTGTTTGTTTTGTCTTCCTTGAAAACGGGTTTAAAGTTTCAACCTCTCGAGAGCGAGAGAGCTGCAAAGTCTTGTATAACAAGTTCCATAGCTAGGCTACCAAATCCAACTAATAGACAATCTTAAAATGGCCCTACATGAGATGAGAAAGATCGTAAAGTGACAGTAAATACCCTATTGTTAGAGAGATAATCCAAGAGATTCCTCTTATATATGTCATCTACCTACTTCCATGCAATATGCATGACTATCTTTTAACACGATTGATTACTTTTTTTTATGTGAAAAGTGAAGTGTCAAAAGACATGGTAGATCCAATAATTCAGCACAATTATTAACTTAAGTTATGCCCTCATATATTTCAAAAATAGGTCATCTTTTATGCCTATGGCATTATCAATTGGACCAAATTAATACAAAATTTAAAATTAATAGTCAAAATTAAGTCAATTGAAAGTGGAGAGACCAAAATGACATAAAGAGCAAAATGTCTGAACAACCGATGTAATTTGCCTTAATTATTAATATTGATAAAATTTATCGCTAATTTATAATTATTTTTCAAGTTTTATCTTAATCTAAAATTCTCCCATAAAATTGTAACTACTGAGAGGGACGGAATAGGAGAGAACTTGTTATGGTCAAGCAATTAATTGCTTGGATGACTGCCTAATAGGGACGGAATAGGAGAGAACTTATTATGGTTATGCAATTAATTGCTTGGATGACTGCTTAATGCTTTACTTGTGGAGGTAACCCTCTCTTTCATTGTTGATTTTAGGGTTCGTTTAGAAATTTGGCTATTTTACTTGATATTTTTGATTATTTTAATTTGCGTAAAAAATTTGAGTTTGAGATGATTTTTAGTTTTTATTTTTATTTTTTGTTATTTATCGATGATTGTAAGAAAAAAGAAGAAGAAATAATCATGGTTTAAATATAACATTTTGTTTTATTAATTATTTTATTTTTTTTTTTGTCTTTATTGATTATTTTAGCTAAAAACTTGTGTCCGAAACACCCCCTCGATTTGAATTCTACTGTCCTCCTAAAAATAATTCTCATATTAGTACTAATTGGGATGTTAAAAAAATTGGTAAAACAGGTAAACTGATCCAGTCTCGTCCAAATTGTCGATTTAGTATAGTTTTTTTTATTGATTTTGATTCTAGATCTAGTTTTGAAAATGATGGAAAAATTGTTCAAATCAATCTGATTCTCAATTTGAAAGCTTTGGTTATGGCTCCAAACTGAATTGTGATATATTTATTTTTTTCACAATTACTTTCTATTGTTTTATTTTGCTGTATTTTTAAATTAGTATTAGAATCTAATTTTCCAGTCGTGTAATCAAATTATGAGTATTAAATATACTACACAAATATAATCAAATAATTTAAATAATAGCATTTGCTACAAATAATAATAAAACAAAATAATACATTAATTAGATTACTTTAAAAACTTAATGAAAAACATAAATACAGTCAATTGAAAATTAGTATAAACGAAGTTGGCATATAAAAGAACTTCACCGGAAGAAGTACCACCTATTTTTTTTAAAATGCAATAGAAATTTAAGATTTTTTTTTTAAATAGTTTTTTTTAACTATCTTTTATTAATTTATAATGAGCTTATATTATATTTTTGTAATTCTTTCAAGACCAACTTGATTGAAATTAAATAGTTCATAAATTTAATAGATTTAATCAATAATTCAAAAATTAAATTAATTTTGATTTATATATTTTAAGAATTTAATAGATTCAATGAATCATTAATGAATTATGGCCTTTGTTTGGAAATAAGGATTTTTAGGTCAAGTTTGGCAAGTCAAATATAATTCAAAAAGTCAAAAAATTACATAAAAAGTAAAAAACGTATTACTATTCACAAATAAAAAATATTAAAAAAATAGTTTATACATTTTTATAATATAAATCCACTGACAACGTCACAGAGGCTATCATACACTTCTCTTGGGCAAAAAAAAATTTACCTCCTTCAGGGCAAATAATTTTTCGATAGTGATGGTCGGTCTGTAGGGGCCACCATAGGTCCCATTTTAATAATCTGAATCGTTGAATATGTTGAACTCGTCGAGTAATATACGCCCGTAAAAAATCACGTTGATCGGATATCGTTAACTATATGATCAAATCAATTTTGTATAAACAAAACAAATGGTGTGATAGTTAACTCTTGAACAAAACTAATCCGATCATATAGTTATTGATATCCGATTAATGTGATTTTTTATAATCATATAATACTCGACGAGTTGTACATATTGAACGGTTCAGATTATTAAAATGAGACCCATGATAGCCCCCATGGACCGACCATCACTGTCCAAAAGTTATTTGTCCTAAAGGAGGCAATTATTTCTATGAATACATGCTGCGCAGCCGCAGGAGAGCCGTACAATCAATTAATTTTCTTCTACTATACACTTTATTTATATAATTTTTTATTACATATTTTTCTGTAAAAAAATAAAAAGTTAATCAAAACATCCATATTTTTTTCTTCAATTTTTTAGTTCAAAAAAATAAAAAGTACACTTATTTAGGACACCAAAAACAACCTCTTAGTCTCAAAGTCAAAAAAATACTACAAATTATCAAATCATTAATTCTATTCTTTTTTTTTTGGCACATTATTTCATAAAAAATTAAAAATAACTGAAAAATTAATTTCCAATCGAGCCATAATTACATAATTTGACACTACTTGAAGTAGAAAGCGTAATCAACCCAAAATAATTCAATAAACTCATCAAAGATCTAGGTTTGTTTGGAAATTGAATATTTTTTTTTTCAAATAAGTTTTCAACTTTTTACAAAATACATGCATAGAGTTAATTTTTATAATGATTTTTTTTTAAATATTTTTTTTTTGACTAAACGCCTTAAGAGCATCTTCGACGTTTAAAATTTTTTTTCATCAAATTTAAATAAAAATTTAAGTTAAAACTTCGTCTGATATCACGCATTCTAACGAAAAATTTTGAATTTTCATTGAAACACTGGCCGATCAAGAGGATCTCTGGCCGGTTGACGGGCTTGGTGTAAATTGACCACAACCTACAGAATAATTTGCAAGGAAGAGATTATGTCCGGGAGTCACAGATTCTCATATTTGTAAGAGCTTGACCTCTTCGATCTCTCAATCATGCCGAGCATCATCAGCAATGAACTCAACGATACCAAATCCATCAAGATCAGCGACATCAGATCCAATGGCGACTTCACTCTTCGGAAGCGAAGATTGAGATCCGATTCGGCTGCAGAAGACGGATCAAAGTCGAAATCTCCTCGTCGATGCATCAATGGCGGCCTCAATTGCACTGAAAATGTGAGTCTGAAAGCACTTCGATTTGCATCTGTTGATATTCCGCCATTGATGGTGATAGTGTTGGAGTTTCTTACATTTTTATGTTTTTTTTTTTTTTCTCCAGGGAATTATTGAAAAAGAATCTGGTGATAATAAGGTTGTCAAATCTCGCGAATTGCTGGTGAAAAAATTGTCTGATGATTTTATTGACAAACCAAAATGGAATCCAAGAGGCAAGTTTGAGCAATTAAACAATTTTATAGGTTGTGCTTTTATTAACGACAATTGATAGATGAACGAAATTTAAAATGTGGAGTTTAAATTAATAAAATTAAAATTACGAGAACTAAAATGAAATTTCCCTCAAATTAGAGGATTAATGATATATTTGACGTTCAAATAATTATTAACCATTTTGAAATTAAATCCGTCTTTCCCTTTCATCAAATCGTCAAAGAATTTAGATGTGAAGTTCAAAAGACACAATGCATTTGTACTCACCGCCGCAAGTGTGTATATGTATAAATATATATATATATATATATATGGACACATACGGTTGTGTGCAGGGAAGATGAGAAGAAAAGGGTTTTGGAGTTCTGTAAACAATGCATAGAGCAAGAGAAAGCAGGGAGTTTGTATGTGTGTGGATGTCCAGGGACTGGGAAATCGCTGATGGAAAGAGTTAAAGACTCTCTGGTCGATTGGGCACAGGGGGTAAGCTGATTGCCCTTAATTGAATAAGCGTTTGGTTGACAATGTTAATCTTGCTGCATTACCGGTTAATATTCAACAAACAAATTATCGGTCACTCCTTTGTTTGGAAATTGTTAAGGGAAAAGTTCAGAACATGTTTTGAGCATCATTTCCATTGTTCTTGTTTTTGTCTTTGGTTTTCAATTTTTGTGTTTTTATAAGTTTGAAAACACTATATTTTTTGTGTCACTTTTATTTTAGTACAAATTTTTTTGGGACCTTATGGAGCATATTTCAATTTTTCCTCAAACATGAGTTGTCTTTCAGATTTTTTTTTTTTGCTTGCCAAAATAATTTTAATATGGATGCTGCTAATGACAGCTCAATAGGCTCTCAATAAGAGAAACAAAATGTCGAAAAAATTAGAATATCAATGTATTTTTTACACATCCCAAAGCATTTTCTCAAACCTGTTCTCAGTATGGCAGCATCACATCTGAGCGAATGTATGGGTTGGAAATTATGACTTTTATGTTTTATTTATCTGAAGTTGGCCTAAGAATTCTAGCTTTTTTTCCAAAAAGCAAGAAGAAAAAAAATGTAGGTACGAGGCTGTGAGAAATTATACATTTGCAGTTGCAATTACAAGTTGATAATTGAACAAGTTGCAACTTAATCATTTTCAGTATTTTCCTAGGAATCCAATGCCACTATTGTGACCTTTCTGCATTTAATGTTAACATATCTAAGTACTTCAATTGTGGAGATAATTGTCTCATGAGCAAAGAAATTGATTATCTTTTAAAACATGGCAGAAAGTTGCAGCTGCATCTGGAGATATGAGGAAAGCTCTGTGCATCTGCAGGTTGGCCTTTTATTGCCATAGTTACAGTACTTAATTAGTAGCATATGTTGAACTTGTATTGTATTCAAGATGATTGAAATTAGATTGGTAGAAAATGTGCTTAGAAGTAATCATCAAGAAGATGACAGTGTCATTGAAATAATGTTAAAAAAAAAGTTGACTTCTATAGAATTTTTTGGACTTAATGATTACTATACATGTACACCATCTGTGTGTGAGCAATGGGTGTCATGTAATAAGCTTAACACTTTTTCGGAATATGTAAATAAGGATGTCGTCCATACTTATGTGAAGCTAAACAATTATCATGCATACAAGAGAGTAAACTTAGGGGCATAGTATGGGAATTTTTTAGATGTCAATGACCAACATTAGCCGTTTTTACTTACAAGGAACGCTATATCAATAAGATGATATGGATATATTACAATCCAGCAATGTTGATGTATCAATGGATATTATCTGCAGAAATCAATTGTACTTTTGAAAAGTGCAAATTTTAATTTAAAAGATTATAAGAACATTTTGAAAGTTTTAATGTAACAGACATATCTAAGTCTTGAAAATACAGACATCTACAAGTATATCGCTGATATTTAATTTGATGCTAATTTATATATGCCTGTGCAATTAATTACACCGATAACAATCTACTCTGCCCCTTCTCTCTCTTTTTTATGGGGCTTGGCTTCATTCAAGTGTGCATCCATGATGCTCTCCCTTGATCTCATTTTAAGCAGCACTAATGACTGAGAAATTAGATTCCACGAGAAATGTAGGAATTTGCTGTCTTTCTTGCATATATTACTATTGCTAAATCTTATTAACTGCGAGGTAGTCACTCAGCCCTGTGATAGGCTTTAAATTGTAAATGTAGTATCAGCAATATCTACAACCAATGATGTAGATGGCATATCTGTGATGAAAATGATGCTTTTGTTTTGACCAGGGTATAAACTGCGGTGTAATTACTTCGTCTTTTTTTTTTTTTCTGTTTCAGAAGTGCAATTGAGATGCTACAAGCAGAGCTGAGGGAATCTGCATGCAATTTGGATTTCTCATTAGCAGAGAATGGGTACTCAAATCAACAGACAACTCCAGCTTGTTATTTAATAAAGCAAGGAATTGATATTGTAGGCACTTGCTATTTACATCAACTTCATCCATTCCAAGCGTAAATAAGTTAAATTAATGATATAAAAACATGTTTTGTCAGTAACTGTTTGTCTCACCATATAAAGTTTTTAAACTTTTTGTTAGCCCAGCTAAAAGCAATCAGATTCAGATATCCCTTTTTAAGAATTTCATATTTCTTACAAGTTTTGCTGCTTGTCACAGGTGAGGGTTGACCATATGGCCATTGCTTTGTCATAGACCTATAGATCACCAATAATGGACACCATACAATCTCTTCCACAACATCAACAGGTAAGTTTGTTCTGCTAACATGATTAATTAGTTGACTATTATGGCTCAAAAGATGTGCATTTTATATTGACGGGTCTGTTTAAAGGAGTTTATTCATGACTCGAAGGACTTTATTTATGCTTTGATCTAATAAGATAATCTAGATACGATGTAATTGAAAATCTAGTGTCAACTGAATTCAGTTACTAAACTAGCATGTGTGCCCTATGATTGTAACATCACGAAAATTCATCCAAAAGTGAGATCTGGTGAATTTTAAAAGTGATGATAATATGGGAGGTATGTACTTATTTCAAATGTTCCTCACTTTATATATATCAATCAAATGATGTTTTTTTTTAGGCAACTCAACTTCCTGAAAGTTGTCTTTGATCTTGGCATGCCTTGTGATGTGTTTAATTGATGGCATCATAAGAAGCGTTATAAGTATTTTTGTGGAAACTTGCATAATACTATTGCAGCCAACTGTTCAGCTCTTAGAATTGGGGTCCACTGTCCAAAAGTCCAAACCAGTTTCGATAAATTGTAGCCTGTTAGTTTTTATGCTGTTTTCCTTCTTGCTCTTGCTTACCTATCTCTAGAAACATTATTCTGTTTTTATGTTTTTTACGGTTTTTTCCTTGGCTTCAGATTATACTTTGTTCTGCTGTGAAGCTTTTCCGTGGGGGAAAGAAGGATACAACTATAGGCGAGGTATATTAGCTGACATAGTGTTCAATAAGACTTGAGAAGAGTACATTGTACAACAGTTAATTGAGATTTGTAAATTTTTGTTAGAATTTACCATCACCTACCACCACTACCACCTCACCTACTCCACTAAACCTAACCCACTACACCACTACCACCATCCACTACACCTACATCTATATAAGGAACCATTTGTAATAGACAGTGAATAACACAAATCTTTCGGAATATGTAAATAAGGATGTCGTCCATACTTATGTGAAGCTAAACAATTATCATGCATACAAGAGAGTAAACTTAGGGGCATAGTATGGGAATTTTTTAGATGTCAATAACCAACATTAGCAATTTTCACTTACAAGGAATGCTATATCAATAAGATGATATGGATATATTACAATCCGGCAATGTTGATGTATCAATGGATATTATCTGCAGAAATCAATTGTACTTTTGAAAAGTGCAAATTTTAATTTAAAAGATTATAAGAACATTTTGAAAGTTTTAATGTAACAGACATATCTAAGTCTTGAAAATACAGACATCTACAAGTATATCGCTGATATTTAATTTGATGCTAATTTATATATGCCTGTGCAATTAATTACACCGATAACAATCTACTCTGCCCCTTCTCTCTCTTCTTTATGGGGCTTGGCTTCATTCAAGTGTGCATCCATGATGCTCTCCCTTGATCTCATTTTAAGCAGTACTAATGACTGAGAAATTAGATTCCACGAGAAATGTAGGAATTTGTTCTCTTTCTTGCATATATTACTATTGCTAAATCTTATTAACTGCTGAGTGACCTGTGATAGGCTTTAAATTGTAAATGTAGTATCAGCAAAATCTACAACCAATGATGTAGATGGCATATCTGTGATGAAATGATGCTTTTGTTTTGACTAGGGTATAAACTGCAGTGTAATTACTTCGTCTTTTATTTTTTCTGTTTCAGAAGTGCAATTTAGATGCTACAAGCAGAGCTGAGGGAATCTGCATGCAATTTGGATTTCTCATTAGCAGAGAATGGGTACTCAAATCAACAGACAACTCCAGCTTGTGATTTAATAATGCAAGGAATTGATATTGTAGGCACTTGCTATTTACATCAACTTCATCCATTCCAAGCGTAAATAAGTTAAATTAATGATATAAAAACATGTTTTGTCAGTAACTGTTTGTCTCACCATATAAAGTTTTTAAACTTTTTGTTAGCCCAGCTAAAAGCAATCAGATTCAGATATCCCTTTTTAAGAATTTCATATTTCTTACAAGTTTTGCTGCTTGTCACAGGTGAGGGTTGACCATATGGCTATTGCTTTGTCAAAGACCTATAGATCACCAATAATGGACACCATACAATCTCTTCCACAACATCAACAGGTAAGTTTGTTCTGCTAACATGATTAATTAGTTGACTATTATGGCTCAAAAGATGTGCATTTTATATTGACGGGTCTATTTAAAGGAGTTTATTCATGACTCGAAGGACTTTATTTATGCTTTGATCTAATAAGATAATCTAGATATGATGTAATTGAAAATCTAGTGTCAACTGAATTCAGTGTGTGCCCTATGATTGTAACATCACGAAAATTCATCCAAAACTGAGATCTGGTGAATTTTAAAAGTGATGATAATATGGGAGGTATGTACTTATTTCAAATGTTCCTCACTTTATATATATCAATCAAATGATGTTTTTTTTTAGGCAACTCAACTTCCTGAAAGTTGTCTTTGATCTTGGCATGCCTTGTGATGTGTTTTATTGATGGCATCATAAAAAGCGTTATAAGTATTTTTGTGGAAACTTGCATAATACTATTGCAGCCCACTGTTCAGCTCTTAGAATTGGGGTCCACTGTCCAAAAGTCCAAACCAGTTTCGATAAATTGTAGCCTGTTAGTTTTTATGCTGTTTTCCTTCTTGCTCTTGCTTACCTATCTCTAGAAACATTATTCTGTTTTTATGTTTTTTACGGTTTTTCCCTTGGCTTCAGATTATACTTTGTTCTGCTGTGAAGCTTTTCCGTGGGGGAAAGAAGGATACAACTATAGGCGAGGTATATTAGCTGACATAGTGTTCAATAAGACTTTAGAAGAGTACATTGTACAACAGTTAATTGAGATTTGTAAATTTTCTAGATGAATGCAGCTCAGTAAATCATACTTAGACATCTGCAAATTAACATTACCATCACCTACCACCACTACCACCTCACCTACTCCACTAAACTTAACCCACTACACCACTACCACCATCCACTACACCTACATCTATATAAGGAACCATTTGTAATAGACAGTGAATAACACAAATCAATCAATAATAAGATCATCAGATACATTTATTCTCTCTGAAATTTTTTTTTTTCTCTTTATACATTGATTTTTAACAATTTTCTATATGAATGCAGCTCAGTAAATCATACTTAGACATCTGCAAATTAACATTAATCCCACCAGTTGGAATTATGGAACTTTCAAGCATGTGTAGAGTTCTAGGTGACCAGGTGAGCTTAATATGCTGCGTGTTCTGATTGAATTTATTTCTTTGGATATAATTCTCTATACAAGATTTAGATTGAGCACATGAAGCTTATTTCGCAATACGATACGATCCCCGTGAAATGGCAAGGTAAGATGCATGATTCAAAGTGCAGGGTCTTCTCAAACTTGGTCAATCTCGAGAAGATAAATTAAGAAGAGTAGCACTAAAAGTCGATGAAGCAGATGTTGCATTTGCATTGCAGGTATTAGAAAATAAATTTAAGCTTATTGTGTGTCAATATCTTTTGAAAGTTACTCTGGCATAGCTTCAATCTGCTTATTTACAATGAACTATTTTGTTTTTGCTAATTTTTATATAATCTGTTTGGCAGGGAATTCGTGCCGGCGTGAGAAGATCACCGCTGGCGTGAGAAGATCGTGGCCGTCGGATCGGAGAGAGACAGTGAACTCAGAGAGCGAAGGAGGGAAGAGATTGAGTGTTTACTGTTCCTCTCTCTCTCTACTTTCCCTCATTTTTTTGCTCTTTCAGAATCCTGATGATGCTCGTCAATTTATGAAATTTCTTCATCCTGATCTTGGTATTGAACTTCCTGAAAGATCCTATGGTGCTGATTGCCGAATTTATTCCATGTTTGTCTACCCTGCAATTGATGGGCATCGCAAACAGCGCCTTGCTTATGTATACGGCTTGCTTTCTGACTGCTAACACGGACACGGACACGGACACACGCATACGGACACGGACACGGACACGGACAGGGGACACGACAATTTCTAAAAAAAAGGGACACGGACACGGCAGGAGACACGGCAATTTTTTTAATATTTTTATAAATATTTTTATTTTAATACACATTAATTATTTTATTTATTTATTATATTTTTTAAATAATGTATTTTAATTAATTTTTTATTTTATTTTTCCTATGTGTTTATTTATTTTTATTTTTATTAATATGTATAAATATATATTATCTTATAATATGTATAAGACATTCTGAGTGAAAGCATGTTAAACTTAACTCACTCACTCTCTCTCTCTCTCTCTCTCTCATGTTTGCATTATTCTAGAAGGCTCCATTTTTGTTGCAGATAACAATGCTTTGGTGAGCACATATTATTTCACTCAGAGGTTGCAATGAATAAGCTTTAACCCATGGAATAATCAAAGAGCAAACTTGAAAGGCTAGGAGGGTGTTGCTGTCTGTTGCTAACATTTCAATTATCTTAGTTTTTTAGAATTAAAAAAATATATATATATATATATAGCTCAAAAATATTGAAGAATGGAATATATACATCCATATCTTCCTTGTAACAGAATTTCCCAGGTATTTATTTGAAGAATGAATTATACACATCCATATCTTCCTTGTAACAGAATTCCCTGATATGAGTGCAAAGTCGTCAAATTTTCAGCTTACCAAGAAGGGCGAAAATGATTGCTTATAAATGACCAAAAATTATCTAATCTGTCTTGATTTTGACTTGTGCTGATTTTTTCCTTCGCGATAAAAAAAAAAACCTTTTTATAACAAAATTGATGCTTTGAGGGAGAAAAGGTTCCAAAATCACATGAAAGTGAACACTGAGAAAGAGTGGGTGCAAGGAGGAATTTGAGAGGGTATAAACAGACAATGGACTGACCCTATAAGTTTTGCATGTCAAAGTGCTCATATGAAAGACAATCCCTAGGCCCTTGTCTCACGAGGAATTATATTAATTGCCAAGTAAACATATAACGTGGCTTTGTATATTTAAATAACAACAATATTATAAATTTATACTTATGAACTCAAATTTAACTCAAAAAAGAAAGCTAATAGTTGAAATTCATTTTACTCATGTATTCACATTTCATCAATTTAATCTCTACCACATATATATTTGTGATAAATTATGAGTTGATAAGAAAGGTTCATAGCATTTTTGTTTAAATAATCATCGAATTCTAAACATGAACCAACATGTCTAGATAGGTAGATGAAAGAAAAATTGTCACTAACTTTCGCGAATTAAAATTTTAAAAAAACAATGGAAGGAGTGATGTCAGAGGGTGTGAACAGCACCAAACTCACCATAAGATCTGCATGTCAAGCGCATGACATGTAAAACAAAACCCTAATCCACTTTTTGAATGAAACTTTTCATTAATTACCAAATATAAAATATCAAAAGAAAACTCATGAAGAGATGAACCGACAAATCACCTTGATGAAATTTTGGCAATCTAAATCGTATATCTCTAACTTTTAAGATATAAAATTAAATAATTAAAAAAAGAAAAAGAGTTGAGAATAGGAAATTAAACCAGATAAGGCAAACTAGGGTTTTCTCTTTTGACTATTTGAAAAATATCACACAAACCCAAACCAAATCTCAGTTCTTAGATATTTGTCATAGAATTTTATGAGAAATCTAACACAATTGTTTGATGATTAGTTTTGCAAAAAGGAAAGCAAAATTTAACAAAAACCAAACCACACTCAAATTCTTACTAAGAGCTTGTGCCAAATCCACTTCTAGATTGATACCTAACCCACTTCTATCACGAGATCCACTGAAGCTTTTAATAAAACCAGGAGTAGATACTTGCTCAATAACAAAATTAGGATTGTGTACTAACTCTTCCAATATGGTCTCCTCGATAACTGTGTTTACCTCCTCGCCCAAATGACAATCATTAGACCCTGACCTCTGATCTACCTCCTTGGTGCATACTTCCTCTTCTCTGATGAACCCTTCATCCCACTTTGACTCCTCAATAACTGAGTTTACCTGCATCACATCGTCAGACTCCTTCTCCCTAAAAAACCCTTCTAGACTTGTTCTTTCCACAACACTACCACAGATTTTGTTAGAGCTGCACTCTTCCAACCCATTGCCCTTGAAGCTACTAAATTCTGCTGAAAGATCTTCACACACAAGAATGGGGTGTAATATACCCTTGCAATCCAAAGATATAGTTTTGTTAATGAACTCCATACAAGATGTAGCCACTCTGATTCTGGTGTGGGAGAAGGTCTTAGGTTGACAAAAAATCATCATCCAAGCTACGGACAATACCCCACATGCTTCCAATGTTGTTGAGTGTGCCGCTATTCCAGAGGTTTAAAGGAATGCCATAACACCTCAACCACACACATCGTTCTTGTTCAAGAAAAAATCCTGGCTTCCATTCCATCACAAACTGACTCCATTCCTTAAACCATTCTTTGATATTGCAAAGATTTGATTTCAGTTCCTCTTGAGATTTAAATGTAAGAACTAGATCTCGACCACCCCCTTTCCTGACCATTACATGATCCAAGCCTTTCTTTTTCAAGATATTACCAATGTTAACAGTAGAGAATTCAGAAATAAATCTGACTATTACACTACCATGGAACCATTCAAGATCCTCTTCATTGGCTTTAATGGACAAGCTTTCTTTCCTAGCCACAGTGGGTGTGACCCCTTTCAATACTTCAACGAATGATCTTTGGCCTGAAAATGGAACTTGAGCCCTGTAACTGATAGGATTAGGAGGTCTGCTAATGGAATGGGGTTCTTTCCTGCTCTTCTCAAATCTGATGCATCTGTCCTTGGTAGCTTTTTTAACTTCTAGCACCCTTTCTTCTACTAGCAGGCCATGTCTGCTGCAACAGGGCAATTGAATCTCACAAATCCAAATCTAGACTTAGACACAGTCCTTCTTTTGAACGGAATGAAGACATCCTTTACAATGCCAAACTGTGAGGAAATCTTGAACAGCGTTTTGGCATCCAAAGCTGAAGGTAAGTTATCCACAAAAACGGTAAATAGACCAAACTTAACATCTTTACCTTGGTCTCCATCTCCTTCTCTCCACCTCTCTTTCGGAATCCAACCTCCATTTCCTATTTTTGCCATTACATTTTCACTGAGGCATATTATCAAACAGGTGGAGTGCGAAACTAATTGCTGAGCAGAACAGGACCAGTTCCTACTCTACGATTCCCTCAAATCACAAAACCCAGATGAAATAAGAGAGATCTGAAAATAAAGTAATGGCCTACCCCGAAAGAAGATGGAACAAAGAGTTGATACAATCGAAGATAGAAAGAGGATGGAATCCAAATGGAACACAGAACAGGACTAGCGCCTTTAATCCTTTCAACTGTGCACTTGATAGGCTATATACTGTTGCCACTAATCCAAGAGAGAGCTTCGCTGTTGGAACTAATCTTTACCGGAGAGCCGAAGAGAGAGTGATCAATAGACTCGAACACACGATCCTCTTCTCTCCTAGCAGTAGCAATCGCTGTTTTGAACACTTTGCACCTTCGTTCTATAAGAGTTTGTAAACATGAAAGTAACTCAGATTCGAAGTGTAAAATTTTTTCCCCCTCTTTGCTACCATTTCTCAAACCAAACAGAGCCTAATCGGCAGAGTAAGTGTTGTTGGAATAATGCTTGGGTGAAGAAAAAAGACCTTGATATCATGGCACAAATGATTGTGCCACCGCTCCCGGCATTGTTTTCCAGCCCTGCCAACCATATTCTCTGCTATCTGAGCCCATTTTCTCACTCCATGCTGCGTCACTAAATTGAGCAGTTTCCTTCACAAAAACAAAATCATAGAAATCTTCAATATCAATTGCACTTTCATGTAAAGAGTAGATATATGTGGATTTAGTATAAGCAATACTGTCATATATGGGCTGATATTAGACAATATCGATTGATATATCATTATCAGAAGATAGATATTTAAACCCTAGGATGTATAAGACTAAAAGAAGGGTAAAAATTAAAAATTATGTGTTATATCACCTATCTTCTTCATCTGTCCATTGTCCTTTGATCAGAGTAGTTGTAGAAGAGCCACATTTTGCTCTCTTTGCCACTCCTTTACAATTCTTCCCTGTTGATTTGTCATCTTCATTCAAGCCCATATTAGGATCTATCTCATATGTCCATTTAAGAGTCTCACTATCATGGAAAAGACCATCCATAAAGCTCTTCTCTGGAAAACTTGGCCCCAAAAAGTCATTTGAGTAACCACCAATTGCACCACCAGAAGAAGAAAAACCACTGTACACGCTTGCTGGAACGAGCAGTCTTTGGTTGTGCACATTGTTTTGAGTCTGTTTGTGAGAGAAATGGTTGTTCTTGCTTGACAAGAACCTCTCTGTGGCTGTTAATGGAGGACTAGGTCTATATAAAGAAGGTTTGTTTTGTAAATTCACATACCCAAAACCACCACCACCAGCACCTTCCA